GCTTAATTTTTAGATGAACCTAGTGATTATGAATGCGCCTGATGATTATAAACACATACGTACACATACACGGGTGGACCACTTGCTTCATTTAATAATAGGTAACTAGAAACTTGTAACATGATACTGTTGATATATAGAGATCGGTGAGAGTTTTAGACAACGAAATATACCGTACCTTTCATTTTGTCCTGCTTCATCAATATGACATCTTTGTTTGCACTAACTTCATTTCACTTCTACATAAATGTTGAGGCATTCCTCACTTCCACTCCTTCCTTCATCTCTCTCTTCCCCTTTAAGCCTTTGCCTTCTAGTTCTTTCCCTCCAATGCAATCGCACTGTCTATTTATTAATTATAGCCTCGATAATTAAACAAAAAAATATTAAATATATGTACAGATAATAAGACGAACAGGAAATTGATTATAAAGTGATCGTGCACAAATGGATGTCATGTGTAACGAACTTCACATATATTTGATTGAATTCTATATATTTAGCTCCTAACTTTAGGCTGTCATTAGTGACCGATCTAGAAGCTAATAAATAGGGGAGGTCCAAATTGAACATAAAACATTGAGTGGGGGCTAATATTTATTTTAAAAAATTTTACAAGTAAAACTTGTTAGTTTTATCAAGGGAGTATATAAGTGAGGGAGAAAGTAACACTTTCAACCGTTGGAAAGTGAAGTGTTGGCGGGGGGAAAAATGCCATGGTGCGTAGGCGTTGGTTACATAATTTTATTTTGTGAATTCGATATGAAGTCCCAGTAACGATAACGATACATCTTCTCGTTACGCTGTTACATGGCGCTGACCAGGAAAAAAAAAAAAAAAAAGGTACGCTGTTACATGGACACATAAAAGCTGACAACTATTAAGTGATATTATTGCACCTTCATTTTCTTTGTCTATTTGAGTGAACGTTAATAACTCGAATACTTATTTAAAGCAATATTCTGTATATTAAGGATCAACATCTATACCTTTTTTAAAAAAAAAAATGAACAACTGATAATTTTTTTTCCATCCCGGGCAGTTTTTTAATAAAATTATTGTTTATTGTTGACATTCACAGCGTATTCTTGTTATTCGCATGCCTTTTTGTACGGTTTGCCTATAATGGTTCAATAATTAAATGCCCATTCCGTGAGACTAAATATACATTTCAGCCATATAAAGCAAAATTCGATAACACAAATACAGCATATAACTTGAAATTCCCTACAACAAGTAGCCTCGCATGTGATCTGGTTTTAACAATTTATATATATATATATATATATATATTTATATAGATATATTATGAAGTTTAATCAATTAATACGCCATATATTTGAAGTACACAAAGCGATCAAGTTAGGACGTGGACATTAATTAGGCATTATCGGTGGGTTTAATTTGATTTTCAGTACTTCTCGGAGCCTCGCTTCTCACATGCCTTCCTAGCCAAAAAGCATACTCTTGGTTTTAGCTTAAGCCTGAGTCAAATTGAGCATTGTTTGGTCTCATTTCAGAGCTTGTTCTTAATATAACTTGCTTTGTCTGCCGAATTCACACTTCAAACCTTATTTAAAGGAAGCTACGTTTCTTCTATTAGCATTGTCAGTGCCCATTTCATTACTCTCTGGCCATTTTTTTTCCAAGTTATTGATTAGAAAATCAAAAATAAATTTGCTGCTGTTGAATAAAATTTATAACTATTTTGTGATAATATCATATATATTGTATTTCCTCAATTTTTATTTTTTTAGTCAATAAAGAATATGGTCCTCTTCTCTCTCAGTTTAATCCAATGAACTTTAATCTATGTTCTTTTTATACTAGCTAATTATCTTAAATATATAACGAAATCTATTCGCGTTTATCATTTTTTAACTAAAATATTTGCATCAATCTGATCGCAATCGAAATTAATCGATAGATAACGCCCTGCGTTCTGTAAGAGCTGAATTAACAACTCAACGATTTAAGATGCTTGTAAAATAAAAGGAAATAACTTTGACAAGTTTTAAACACATCACAAAATGAAAAAAAAATTACCAAGTAATATATTGTTTAATTTCTTAATTAAATTCATTTGATGTTCTCCCAGGCTTTAGATTTTTCACTGGAATATAAATTTTTTTCATGATATGATTCATCAATTTAAGTTATATTTTCTGTTGAATAGATTAGGATATTTTAAAACAAGTGAGATAGAATGACCATCAGGATAAATCGTAGAAGATTGAACGCTATGATTTTAACTAAGAACTACAGTCTACAGCATCTCCCAAGACTCCCATGATAACAATAGTTAGTTAGTTTACTCAGTATAATATGTTTAGTTTAGTTTAATTAATTCTAAAAATTGATGAGTTAATGATATGGTTTCTGTCCAATATGTTTAGTTTAGTTCATTCAATTATTGTTATATCGAATTGGGGGCAGCTCTTCTAAAAGTATATATCTCTAGATTCACACAAATTTAAACTCGTGATCTATTATCTAAGTGGCTATAATTCTTTCCACTATGATCAAGACTGGCTAGTTAATTACTCTCATATGTTTTCTCTTGATTGCATTTTCACTACAATTTTGAACAGTTTGAATTAATTTTTCTTTTTTGTGTACGATCGAGTTCAAATAATTTAAACTTCAACAGTGAAGATTTTTAAAATCTATCAAAATCTATTCCAGATTTGTAGTGCTAAGCAGAGTGAAGCTACTTCCATCAAATAATTGACTAAATGGACCAAGAAAATAATACGAAATCAATATTTTAAATTTAACAGGGAATTATAATTTGTTAAATTATATTTTTTGCGCAGCTTGATTAAAGTTTCCAAGTACAGAGACTTATGATTTTTAATGAACTGTATATAACCCATCTATATATAAATGATTTTATTTCCATATATTTAAAATACGACAATTATATTTTCTATTGTATATTTTGAATGTTATCCTATGATACGTTGATTCAATTACAATAATTTGCTGGATACTATTTACAGACTCACCGGTGTATCAGATCATGAGGATCTCGGAGGCCAAAGGATCAACAAATTAAACCGAACTAAGTGTGGTATACACGGTCATGATTTGAGTATCTGAGGGAATCTATTGTGATTTATCCACTCAGCATCCCTTCAAGTTTGAATCCTTGTCGGCCATCCTCCAGCTTCTCTCAGCTAAACCTCCTCTGTCGTTGAAAATGAAATTAACGACTTTTCCCGCCCTCTCTTCCAAAACGCGTGCCTTTCTTTTTTTGGTTTAATCTCAACCTCTTTTTATTATATATATTTTCGAAGGATTCGCGATTATATCGCCCATCCTAATCTGCCTCGTTACTACCTCAACCCCATGATTACATATAGAATCTCCTTTTATTTTGGAGATCGCAGCTCCCAGTCTCTTTATGTATAATTTCAATCACATTAATTAATTATATATTCGATATGATTATAAACATGTCCAGTAGCTTTTTAACCTTTAGTAAGTCTGCTTTTAATGTGTTTTCTATTCAACACATCATTATTTTAATTACTAATTAATGAATCCAGAACCCTATCAAAATTCAGCAGCAAGCTGAGGTAACTAATTCAAGGGTTAATAATTAAAAACCATGGTCAAAATTTGATGCGTAATTTGCCATGCCGAATCAGTAATTAGTAATCCAACCGAGCAGATTAATCAAATTTTGTAGAGGCGAGAATATAAAAATATGCATCCCACTAAGGGGGAGGACAGCATCTGGGTTCAACTCACACTCCACAACTCCCCACATTGCCCTATGGGAATGATGCATCCCACTTGTCATTCGTATCCCTCGGATGTCAACCATTCAAAATTGATCAGCATGATGTAACCCCAATATCCATTCTAAATCTCCTCTTGTTATCTCGTAAACCATTTTAATCTCCATAATAATAATGACAATGATAATCCCCACCTCCTTTCCTTTACTCGAAAACGCCCAACTTATGTAATGGCTAAGGGTTCTAATATACTTTTTTTAATGTAATGTCCCAACTATTAATTTTATTTAATTTTTTTAAATTATTAAATTTTATATAAAATCAAAATTTGGATATCTTGATATTTAAAATAATAACGATTTATATTTTTTATATTTTAAAAATATACGTGTATTTGTGATATTAATATATTTAAATGCTCTTATTTTATAAAATTAATAATAAAAATAAAAAATAAAATTAATAAATTGAGGAATACAGATACGTAGGGGTGTTCACGGGACGGGACGGGACCGGGCACCCCGTCCGTGTCCCGTCCCGAGAAAAACGATCGGGACTGAATTTTGGTCCCGTGTCCCGTCCCGTCGGAAGTCGTCCCGTCCCGTTAAGAGTCGGGACGGGACCGGGACAAGATCGGGACGTCCCGCCGTTCCGATAAATGGTAATATCGAAAAAAGATCTGGATAATAACATTCATTAAAATTTTATCATATAATTATTAAGTTTTAAATCAAAACAACACAATCATAAATAATAATAATTTAAAAAATATGAATATATAATCATAATACACATTATAATAATAAATACAAATGATCTTATACTATAAGATTAGTACAACAGACAAGTCAAACATAACATCAAATCATTGTTCTTCTACTTAGTGAAGATGTACTAAGCATTACTCTTAAATTATAATTGATAATTATATAAGTATAAATTATATTAATATAATTAATATATTAAAATAAAAAAATATATATAATATTCGGGACGGGACGGGACGTCCCGATGGTATCCCGTGTCCCGTCGTTACCTCTTTTCTGTCCCGTATAAAAGTCCCGTGATTATTTTCTAATAAAAAGACCCGTCCCGATATGATAACGATACGGGCCAATCGGGACGGGTCCGGACTGAACACCCCTAGTATAACGGACATTAGGGAAAAGGCACCCTTAGCCCGTACTTGGTGCTCATCCTTCTGCTTAAACCTCCTCCATTCAGCTGGCAATACAGAAACAGAGCAACCTACAAACCAATATTCATTCTCTTCATCGCCTCCAAATTTCCCCAACCCCACTCTTCTCTTCATATATACTCCACTGTCGTCCGGGCTCTGCCTAACAGTGACTTGTTAATAGCTTTCATTCTTCATGGGGTATTGCCTGCGAGAAATAGAAGGAAAGCAAGCCAATGATCCGTTGTTCATTGAGAAAATGAACGAAAACAAATTGTCTTATCGTGGGCGAAGCGTGTGGGTACCAGGTCCGGTGATCGTTGGGGCAGGGCCTTCTGGTCTCGCAACCGCAGCTTGTCTGAGACAGAGAGGAGTGCCGAGTTTGATTCTAGAAAGATCCGACTGCATAGCTTCTCTGTGGCAACACAAAACCTACGATCGCCTTCGTCTTCATTTGCCCAAGCAGTTCTGCGAGCTTCCATTGATGGGTTTTCCCAGTAATTTCCCGACGTACCCGACGAAGCAGCAGTTCATACAGTACTTGCTGAGCTATGCGGAGAGGTTCGACATCAGGCCGAGGTTCAACGAAACGGTGAGGCAGGCGCAATTCGACGCCACGCTTGGGGTCTGGCTTGTGAAAACCGTGGACAAGGAGGAGAGGACGACGGAGTACTTGTGCCGGTGGCTGATCGTGGCGACGGGAGAGAATGCGGAGGCGGTTGTGCCGGAGATAGAAGGAATGGGGGAATTCGGAGGGGATATAAGGCACACGAGCTTGTACAAGAGCGGCGAGGAGTTCAGAGGGAAGAGAGTGTTGGTGGTGGGATGCGGGAATTCCGGCATGGAAGTGTGCTTGGACCTCTGCAATTATAATGCTGCTCCTTCTCTTGTGGTCAAAGATACAGTAAGAAACAATCCACTTTTTCTGTTTTCCCATTTAATCCTTAAATTAATATTTCTTTTTTTTTTTTCCGAATTCCTGGACATGCACTTTGCAGCAACAGAAAAGTTTTGCGTGCATCTACTTTTGGAATTCTTCGTTTAATATGAAAAATGCTATTTAATATGAAAAATGCTAAATCTGACGGAGCAACAGATTACCCAATACATTTTGATTGATTCCGGACTCTCCTTTTCATCATGAATGGAGCAGTGGTTCCGGACAAAAACCCAAACCCAAGATCATCTCAAACCCCCTGTGTCTTTAAATGCAAAGAATGCATGCCTTCAGCAATAATTCTGGAAAAGTTTTGACACCACGATCGACCTGTGAGAATTACACCGCATGCAAGTCAGTTAGTCCTAAAAAACGTTTTTCTAATTAGCAAGTAAAACAAGCCCGTTTCATGTTCATTGTCATCTGGTGGGCTTCAAGCTCCGAAATTGATGGCCATTGTAGAGCTAGACATGATGGAATTGTCGAATATATTGATTGATAGGTGCACATATTGCCGAGGGAGCTGCTGGGAAAATCGACGTTTGGATTATCGATGTGGTTGCTGAAGTGGGTGCCCATGAGGATGGTGGACGCGTTTCTGCTGATAGTCTCGTGGTTGATGCTCGGCGACACCTCTCGCTTCGGACTGAAACGCCCCTCCGTGGGTCCCCTTCGCCTCAAAAACCTTTCCGGCAAGACACCCGTCCTCGACGTCGGCACTCTCTCCTTCATTAAATCCGGCCACATTCTGGTACTCCCTCTCTCTCACCTGCCTCTTCCCCAGTAACTTGCTTTTAGTTTTAGTTTTTTAAAAATTATTATTCAGCGGTTTAATTTTATTTATTGCGTCTGTCAATATTTGAAGTATAACCGGGAGACTAATCAAATATAATAATGAATCTCCTGTTCATTGAAATCGGCCCTTTTTTTGTCGTGAGATTTCCCATCTTATCATTCTGGTTTTCAAATTTCAATCAAGCCGTCCGTAAAATTAGTGGGGTTAAAATATTAGATTTGTTCCAAAGGCAAAGGGACGAAAAAGGGAGCATTAATTCAACCACGTTTATTTAGCAGCCAGGCAAGGTGTTTAATTTTCCGGTTACCGAGGGGATTGGTCGTTTGACTGATTGAATGGATGTATTTTAGGTGCGTCCAGGCATGAAGCGGCTAAAACGACACGCCGTGGAATTTGTTGACGGCAGGACGGAGAATTTTGACGCCATCATACTCGCAACCGGTTACAAAAGTAACGTGCCCTCCTGGCTGAAGGTAAACGACCAGAAACCTTTCTTCTTTAGAATGAAAAAGATTCATATATATATATTAACAAGGAAATGTGCAATGATCGAGGGCAGGAAGGAGACATGTTCAGCGAGGAAGATGGATTTCCGAGGAGGCCATTCCCAAATGGCTGGAGAGGCGAAAAGGGATTATACGCGGTGGGATTCACGAAACGAGGATTGCTGGGGGCATCCATGGATGCCAAGAGAATATCTCTAGACATAGAGCGTTGCTGGAAAGCCGAGACAAAGCATCCTCGTCACTTTTGGCACTACCCGATTCATGATTCACAGTGACACCACTTAAAGTTGGATTGTACATGACTCATCCATATCTGGTCATGGGAGGTTTTCTGTGGTGGCATCACACATGGGCTCATCTTTCCACGCCTGTACGTTCCACATTGTTGCTCCTCCATTCATAAAAGTGAGAAAGGGGCGCGAGAAAGATTCTCCCAACCATACATGGAGCCCCTCCTCAGCTTTCACCGGTCACCAGCCACCACGCTCTCGCTGGCCGAGAGACGAGGACGCATTATTGATTTTTTATTATGACAAAGCTTACTTGAGCTGGTGAGGGAGGACCCTCGCTCGCTAGCTAGCTGGCTAGCTGCTTATATCTGTAAATCTTCTACATTGCTGATGAACGATCAATTTACAGAGGATTTGAAGTAGAGTGGCAGCCAGAGAGGGATGGGATGTGATTGACAAGCCTATGGTTATATCATATATGACCTGTGCTTACTTTGAGTCTTTGACCTGTACATGCTTCTGATTAATTAATGTGGATTTTTTCCCCGGCCATAAGAATTGAGTGTAACATGTTAATTGCCTCTTTGACTCTCTATCTCTCCATAACAATGCTCTGCTCTGTTACTCAGTTCAGTCTTTGGTCTCTTGACTTTAGGGAAGAAGGCGGAGACTAGTAGACGGAGAGGAAAACTGTTTCTCAACTCGGAATGGCGTGGCAGTGTGGTGGCTAGATAATGATGATCATGTACCCTGGGGGAGATGGTGGAGGTCCTCATGTACAGATTGGATTACCAGTTTCATGCAATTTCGATGTCGAAATGATTACACATTGCAAAAAAATACTAGCAAGGGCCACCATCACTTGATTTTCCTGCGAAAACCCTAACATTTCAAAGCTGCAATTACCCGTTTTCCCTTGTACCAACTTGGTTGATTGAACTCGGGTAATAGCAGCAACCATTGCTTTTAACTGCTCAAAGTGAGAACTTTTGCGATGCTTTATGAGGGAGGGGGAACCCCACAAAGTGCAAGTTGAGGCAAAATGACATCTGATTAAGCTCTGCCCTGTCACCTTGGTCTGATCTGATTCTTTGTGATCAGGAAAAGAAAAAGGGTGAGGCCATATGGGGTCAACGTTAATCCAGAGCTACTGTCAAACTGTCATTTCTCGGAGCTTTGAATCCCCTTAGATCCTATCTTTTTTTATGTATAATTATTATTCTAATCATTTCCATCTTCCGGGACCCATTCACAGATGGCCTGAGATGTTCCCTGAAATTTACCCCAAAACCAACCAATATTGGCTAAATCCGTTGAAAACCAAGTCACCGACAAAAAATTGGCACTCAACTGGTTAATATCGGTTCAATCTTTCTTTCATTTAAAAAACTAAAAAAAACTCACAAAATAAAAAATATTAGAAAGAATGACAATTAAAGATCTCATAAAAAAAAACTAATGATTTAAATCCTTTAAAGTTAACATCAGTAAATTTCTGTAAAATTTACTTTTAAAATAAAGAAAGAGAAGATTCAATCAATAAAAAATAAAAAAGAGAAGATTTTATATTTTTTAAAAAAGTAAAATAAAAAAATTACTAAAAAAGCTGAAAAAATTACAAAAAATCACAAATCTCAATTTTAAAGGATTTAAATTCAAAATTAATATCAAATCACGAATCTCGTTTTAATTTGAATTCTTAAATCTTGTACCTATCCTTTTATGTGTCAGCCATGAAAATCTTTTTTTTTTTTTAAATACTGATTTCGATATTAATCTTTTTAAAGAATCCTTCTTCCAATACTGGGGCCCCATGAGTTAACGCAAGGCCCACAGAAGTTCCACATCTACCGCGTGTAAATTTTAATTCACGCACTTTTTTTGGTTTATTTAATTTACGCACTTTAAATATTTGTTTATATTTTTTCTCAAACAAAATGTTTAAAATTTTAATTTAACTTTGCCTTCAAGAATACTTGATTGTCATATTTAGAAAAAATTAAGACCTTCTCTATTTTTTTGATTTAATCTCCACATTATTTTTAAAATATATGGACAGATATTTTATATTTGTATTGTAAATTATTTATCTCTATTATTTTTAATATGTATAATTTTAGTTTTAATTTTTTTAAACAATACATTTGATGATCATTTCATATATACCTATACTTATAATCATATGAAGTTAATATATGAAATTAAAACCACATAAATTTACTAATAACTAATGCGACCAAAGCCTGATCGGTAAAGTGGGAACCACAGTCTCAGTTGTTCAACCACTGGTCTAATTTTTAAAAGTTTGACCGATAGTGCCTCAAAGTTATTTATGTTTCCAAATCAGCGACGCTTTATGTTTCGTCTCAAATTTAATCACCACAAGCACAATACAATACCTCTGTCTGGTCTTTTCAACAGGACCCACCCGCGCCTTAGGGGCAAATGCGGAACAAAATAATTTGTTTTTGGTCTGCTTTCTTCTCTGTCAGTCTGCTCGTGGAGTTTGGCGCCTGTAGCAGTCTCATGATTTTCTATCATTCGTTTTATCAAAAGATTATTCTTTTAGTCAAATTTATAAATTATTTTTAATACATTTTATCAGTCTTAAAAAAATTTTAAAATTTATTAATTCTATATTAAAATTTAATAAATTTTTAATTTTATTTTTATTAAATATACACATTTTAATAATATATTTTTCTTTTTAATATTCAATGGAAGGTAAAAAATAAAATTTATGATAAAAATTTAATAATGTAACTTATAAATAGGATTAAAAAAAATTCTTCCTCTACCCTATAAATAGAACTAAAAGAAGTATTATGTTTGTATAAGGTGCCCTTGTTTTCATAATATAAGCATATTTTTAATTGTCATTGATGTTTTGGCATTTTATCTATAAAAACAAATGGTTTTATTATAACAAAGAAAGTGATCGGCAAGAAATAGTGAGCCTGAAGGCAGTGAAAGAGTCAGGATCCTAAATTAAGGAGAGTACTGACGGCGCTATGATTTTTGATAAAAGAAAAATATTTTTATCTCTTTCAAATTAACTATTTCTCTTCTCTTCTTTCTTTATTCCTATTTAGTTTTCAATTATAAATTTGTAAGTATAGCAAGTTAGTAAAACATATTCACTCAATTTACTTTTGAGTTTTGAATATATATTATTTATTATTGTCCTTTTTTTTAACTAGTTCCTAAGTAATATTCAAGATGAGAAGCGAATCCATTTAGTCATATTAAATTTTTTTTATTTTTTAAATAATTAATAAATAATATTGGTATTTATATATGGTGAAATTGTGGGTTAATATTCATAAGGATAAGTTAAAAATTTGAATAGATTTGGGCTAAAAAAGTAAGATTGAAATGGGTTTAAAGTTTAAAATATAAAAATAAGGAGGTATAAAGTATAATAAGTAAAATGTGTAAATTATAAAATATAAAAAATTTAAACTTCTAAATATGTTATTTTTTTTAAGTGAGGCGGGCATATATCTTCTTTCAATTATATGTGACTCCGCCACTGCCTGAAGGTATGTATGAAACCCTCGTCATCCATATTTTTTGTTCCTTACTGGCCAGCATTTGATCACCACGTCCCACGCGATTCTTAAACCGACAGGCTTTAGGTGATTGGGGTGGATAACTGTTTTAAGTGGGTCCAAGTCATCACTACAACAATTAAATTCCGAAAGCAATTATTTGTTTAATATACTCTTGAAAGAAATATTACGTAAAGCCGGGGTGGGGATAATAGAAGGAACCAAAGACGACACTGGCATGATTTTGTAGAGATTTCTTTTTTATATAAAAAGATCAATTACATATCCTCAAATGATTCTGTAGAGATTTTGTAGAGATTTCAAGAGTCGATAAAGGGCATCTTATCCCATTTCCCAAATCCAAAATCTCGAGACTGTTCAACGAAGAAACCCCAGTCAACAAGGAAAGGGTCAAGGGTGATCTAAAATTTTTTAAAAGCATTCTTTGTTAAACTAGATTTTACACAACCCTCCATCTATGGCTGCAGATCCCGTTAATAGCAAAGATTATTTTTCGCAAGATATTGAGAGTGAATAGTAGATCTTTCAATTAAATTGCTAACTCGTTTCATATATAAAGACTAGGATTTAAATTATCAACCGAAGAATATGTTACTTACACTACTCACACAACTTGAGTTGATATAATTGTATTTTTCTTTTTTCTCGTGCCATGCTATGTGCAGGTATGTTTTTAATGTTTAGAAGTTAGAGTTAAATAATTTATTTATATAAAAAAAATATAAACATTTTATTTGATTTCATAATTTGTTGCTTTCTGTTATCTTCTAATATAAATAACCATTTGTTTTATTCCATTAGATTATTATATCCATGCAAATTAAAAATCTAAAACACATGTTTTACTTTGGAATCTGTTGTTATTTACTGTTAAATTATTTATATTTCAGCTTTTGTCAGGTATCAAAACCGTGCGGGTGTTGTTCAAGGCAAGCACATTTGCTTCCTTCTTCAATCTTTGATTGAGCAATGCTTGTTCATTGGGCCCGTAAAATCCTCGACCGGCCACATCTCGATTGGGCCCCTCTTTGGGCCTATATTGAGATAATCTGTCATTTCACCTTCTCTCTCCGTGACTGATAAATACTTAATAGAACCTCCCTTTTACAAAAGCAACAAGACAGATTAAGTCCATCATCCTCCCCCTGTTGCTCTTCTTTAACTTTGATGTCTTATTTATTAGTCATCATAATGAAACGGTAGGTACGAAACTAAAAGCTTGTGTTAGATTCATTCCACCTCATGAAGTCATCTCAATCATGTGTTCATACCTTTATTTATATTCATAATGGGATACAATGTGTGGGATAATCATGCCCAACTAATAATCATTAACTGATAATCATCCCCACTGTTGCTATCCTAAAGTTGCACTATACATCTACACGTACGTACCTAGCCTTCCTCCCCTGCCCGCCTTCTAGTTTCATTTTCTTCCCCCAGCCGCAACCAAAACATTAGTTTAACGTGAATATCGCACCCCCAAATTGCTTGCTGGGGATTTGAGGACTTGACAAATTTCAACTTCGTATCGTCGAGTCCAAGTCACAGGTTTTATGGGTTAGTGAAAGTGCAAGTGCTTATGGTCCTACTCTTTAGAATCAAGTAGCTGGAGCTCAACTTTTGAGTTGATCTTGGCGAATTGCTTGTTCACTGAAACATATACTCAAGTTTTTCATTGGGATAATGTCGATCCCATAAAAAGAAAAATCCCCTTGTCCTATTATTTGTCATATAAAGATCTTTACTAATCCCAACTTACATTTGCGAACACTGTCCTAAAGTGACCATGTTCATGGGTCAGCTGATTTGGCTCCTCACCTCTCTTCCTCTCTCCAAGAAAGCGATGGCAGCATGCAACACAATTACGTCTTTCAACCAAAAACTTGGGGGGAAAATGCGAGTATCCTTCATGGGCTGCCTTTTGTACCCAAATATATAAAGAAACGTAAAATAAGGCTAAAGAGCAGGCGAGGAAGCTGTGGGTATGCAACCATAAGGAACAGGTAGTGTCAATGTTCATAACAAGTAACGACATAATTGCTTGGATCCTCAGTATAAAATGGAGGAATTCAAACTTTTTCCCTCACAGACAAACTTTGCGATGGTCTATAGTCAGGAAACAGTCTGAACGATGACTTTTTCCTCCCAAACAAACAGCATTGAACATAATGTGTAATAGATGAATCCCAGTTACGGAAAGAGGTAATCAAATTAAGATGCTGGAGGACTAGGGAATAGAAAGCGAACTCAGCTTGCATGTATTCAACGAAACTGTCAACTTGGATTCAAGAAGAAACACATCTCTCATGGAATCTTAGACTCTGAAAGTCTTGAGAAGAATTCTTACGCTTCCAACCTCGTCAACCTTTTTTTTTTTTTTTGGTCATGTTCACAATGAATGGTGAGGCCGGAGATAAAAAGAAGGGGAGATTAAAGAGCAATTATCCATTTTGGCGCTTCTCTTCCTTCACAGGTAGAAAAGATTTTATCCACTCTTTCCAGGGAGCATCCTGTTGCTGCTCAATCCAAGACAAGAAACAACTATCCAACAAGCAGAAGAAGTTGACATAGAGGAGCTGATACCTCACAGGTATAAATCGAAAATTCACAACTTGAACAATCGGCCATATGCCTCCTTCCAAAACAAGGGCTGGCAGAAAATCTCTCTTCACATCTTCTTTAATTTGAGGAAAACTCTTCCCGTTGGCAAAACCCATGTAGGTAAAAAATGCAGCTAAATCCAACGGTCCAAAGATAAACCCATCAACAGCGACTTTAGTGGCAACAAAACGGAAGGAATTAGGTTTAAGCATGAGTCTCAATCTTATATATCGGTCCAAGCCTTCATACCTGTAAAAATTAACGAAGATCAGAGAAAGAGATTGATGTGAACCAAACAAAATGAATATAACTTGCAAAACACAAATCACACGGAGTTTGAAGTCCCTTTCTTTTTCTTTCTTTCTTTGTTTTTCTTTTTTTTTTTTTTTTTTTTTGGGAGGGGTGTTCTGAAGCCTTTTCTGATTCACCACATTAAGCCAGTAGCAGAAAAGCTTTTTCAACGGTTGAAGAAGAACTAATAGAGTAATAGGTCCACATCCAAAAACCTATGTTGATGGCAAGGTCCAAAACAACAGCCCTCCTCAGGCCAAACCAAGTCCAATTTTAGATGTCTTAAATACATGGCTAGAATATTAGAAAGTACAGATTTCAGCTCTAAGAAGTATTGAATTCCTCTTTCAACTGACTTGAAGCATTGGCATTGATGAGCAACCTGTTTCAAGGATAGAGGTAACTGTTTGCCCCTAGAAACAAGCAGCCACCATACAGTACAGCCCCAACTGCAGCATTCAAGACTATCTCACAAATTTTCCAACTTCCAAGTTCTACTAGGCCATAAAGACATACTCCTTCCGGCCTTACTGTAGAACACTTTCAACCGTTTCATGCATCTTACAAAAAGTTAATTTTTTTCTTGATATCATAAAAAAAATGAGAAGCACTTTCTTTTTTACCCTTAATTTTAAATAATAATACAATTATATTAAATACTTTCAAGCTAATCAAGAAAGGGTAAAATTGAAAGGAAAAAAAGTGATTTAATTATTACAAGGTGTCCTACATTTTGGACTAAAATTATTTCTAAAATGTGTCTTACAAATAGGACTAGAGGGAGTATTTCTTTTTTTTTTTTGGGGGGGGGTGGAGTGGACACTGAAGAGTTCATGAAGCAGTTTCCTTTGCATGAAACTCTTTGTAGCTATGAAATGAATAAAGACCCAGGATCTAAGAATAAATAAACAGATATCTCAAAATAAGCCAATGCCAATACACAACCAGGAAATAGAATTTGAAAAGGTAGTGCTTCTTACCAGTAGTGGCCAATTGGACCAACGAATCCAAACCCAAACAAGCTGGTTGCAACCATCCGTTTCCAGTTGATCTTAAATTCTTTATCATCATCCTGATATATAGAAGAGAGATTGCCATTAACCAAAAGAAATAAACTCATTGATCTGATGTGCAAACCCTAGGTGTCGCACTGTAACCCAACCAAATACATTGTTGAAATTTCACGAAGTTTGTGCTTGTCTTATATTACTAATTTCATGGAAAGAATATGAAAGTTAGAACATAAAGTAAATCTGAAATGGTGGATTCTTAATAAAAATAAGTATTATATTTTTACCATATTATCAATATCAATCTTATCAAAGAAAATCCTTCTCATTGACCCAACGGCAAGGACCATGTCAATGGTTTCCCTGTCTCACAATCTTCCCTGCCCCCCATATCAACCCAAGGTCTCACTATTTGGGACAAATGGAAAAGTGATATTTGTCATGTGGAGTCGAATGCAAACCTTGTGATTGTAAGTAGTCAACATGATCACGCGCAAAAGGAGTATCAGACATGCGTGCCAGTGTATATATGCCTAAAAGCAGTGGTTCTTTACACTTCAGATACAGGCACAAAGGTCAGGGAGCATTTCAAGTTTGTTAAAGTGAACCTCTAGTCTTCCCCTCTTCAGCTGTCCCTATTGTTCAAGTAAAGTACTAGCATTTATGCGAAAGAGAAAATAATTTCACCAGGGCAAAGTAGCTTCAAATCACTTAGCTGAATCACATACTTTCCCACCTTTTCCCCCGATGAATGCATGTTTAACATTATAATGTGGTTCTACATTCCAAAACAAGTTTTCAATCACCGAACTCACACATGAGCAGGGATTCATTCACCGAATATATATGAAAGAGAGACATACATTTTTCAAGGAGGCAAAAGAAACCGCAAATTTAAGGAAAAGTTTGTTAACTCATATGACTAATGAGGGGAATATTACCTCATTTGGCCTTTGGCTTTGGGCCGTGGAGTAAGTGATAGCCTGGGCACCTATATCACCAACCCCCCATATCAAACCAGAACTTATGACCTGTGTCTTGACTGGGTGAACAGCCAAGCAGCTTGTATACCATCTCCACAACTTCAGCATATCCCGATTCGAGCAGAATCAGAATAAACGAGAGTAATTTAACTTGGGAGTGATCATCGATCATTCATATCACTCCCTTTGACGATTCATCAAGCGGGCATTCGCAGCAGATTTTGAAGGTAAGTCGCCAATCTAAACCTTGACCGCGTTATCAATGAGGAGCAATGAAGGATGACTAGGCATTGGAATTATCTGTTTCATTCCATGTTGTTTAGCAGGAATTCTATTAATTCCAGAAACTAATTTCCTTGGAGCACCGTTGAAAGAAATTGAAATAGAAGAACAGAAGAAGGAATCAAATTTGGCTAGAGATAAAGATGAAAACTCATTAACGGTGAACTTCCTCTCCTGATAATAATTGACATTTCCGCTATTTCCTCTGGTACTTTGGACAATGCACCTTTAGGGCAAGGAATCAAATTGATTTTTTTTTTTTAATCGTTTTAGCATCCCACTGACTTGGGTCATTAATGGGCCTTTTCTCGCTAGTGGCTCATTAGGAGCAGACATTGCCTTGCGGTGCTTAATGCCCCATGACTCAGGCCCAAAATTTTCTAGGCCTTTATTCTTTCTGTTGTGTATTCAGACACCATTAGTTTTTTCTTTTCTTTTTAGGTGTGAGGGTTGGGCTGGGGGTTGGAGGATAACTATTCAAGCATTCCAATTGTCAATGAACAGGGGGAATTAAGTTGAAGTCTTATATAAAAAAATTAATTATTATAATTTATTAATAATTTAATGGTCTTAGTTTATTTTTTGATGAACTTTATAATAATTAATTTTTTATGTAGGATCTGTATATTTTTTTTTTAATTTATAGATTTAGAAAATAATTATGAATTGGGTGGGTCTTAAAAAAGATAAGAAAGTTATTCGTAGAGCAATTAAAATGTAAGTTATCATCAATACATAAAATAAATAAAAAAGTATAGAAACCTTATTATTTATAGGTTATATGGTGTGAGTGCTCTCCAACTCCATGTAACAGTTTTTTCGGGAGAAGGTTCTCTAAACAACACAGTAAAAACAAAAACAATAAGGTTTCGTTTGATTATTAAAATAAAATGAATTAAAAAAATAAATTAAATCACTCTTCCCTCATAATATGTATGATAAAACTTAAAAAAAATTAATCTTTTAGTCATTCAACTTTTAATTTACTAATAACTCAGTTTCTTAACTATAACTCGTTATAACTCAGTCTCTAACTATAACTCGCCTATAATTTAGTCCCTTAACTTTTGAATCACTTACAAATTAGTCCCTAAACTTTTGTTAATTTTTTTTTCATGTTAGCTTATATCTCACATCAATGAGCAAAATGAGGATATTTTAAAATAATATATGAGTATTTTTTTATCCCTCTTATTTGATAAGAATTTAAAAAAAAATTAAAAAATAAGGATCAAGTTATAGGTGAATCAAAAATTGAGAAATTGAGTCACGGTAAGTTATAGTTGAGAGATTAAGTCGCAGCGAGTCATAGTTGAGGGACTAAGTTACAAGTGAGTTAAAAGTTGAAGGATTAAAATATTAATTTTTTTAAAAACTTATTAATATATATTGTAAATTTAAAAATCATCACACTTTTTAGAAAGTCTCATAAATCATGATTCTCAACTCTATAAACTAAATTATCTCTCTCTCTTATAAATATGCTCGTGGCTCACCTGTTTCCTTTAATCATCTTATTTTTATCTTTATTTTTGTAATGTTGGAATTTTATTATGGATTAACATTAATTAATGAGTCCAAGCAGATTGGTCATTATAATCTTGTGTGGATTATGATAGGTGGACCACACAAATGAGCCCAATGGGCAGAAGCATAACCCACAATCCAATAGCCGTTAGTTATTTTCTATCTCTTAATTGACTGAGTTAGAGATAATAGATAATATAATTATTTAATTATTTAATAAGACAGTTACTGTCTGATCCTTATAAATTAATCAGTCGATAACCGCAAACATACGACTCATTTTATTCTGCTTTATTATCTCTGAACTCTCTGAAGATTCTGGAAGTCAGTGGATTGTGCACCTGTCTGTACTCGAGATACGTTCATAGATTTCACAGGTACACATATATTCTCTACTTTTCTTGTTTATATGAATTGATATACTAAACTGCTTACACATTGCATGTTGTAAATATTAAATTTAATGTATCTCAATTTAATGTGATTAATTGAATATAAATTCTTTTAATTATATCTAGTTTAACTTAAAAAAGTTCTCCTTGGTGATTTTAAGAATTATTGACTGATTCCCTATATTAGTTTGGACATATGAATCAGTTTGTAAATTCTTTCCTTTGTTCCTAACGTCACCGTAATCGGAGTTCAGCAAAAAAAAATTCTGAATGGGATTCTTAAGCTTCATAGACGTCGATGAGGCCGTGTTCTTCACTGTAGCATTACTGGAGAATGGCTATAACATCTATGATTTTGGTTTACAGTGTCTCTCACTCAGCTTCACAATAGTACATCTCTAATTCAGATTCTTCATTGAGAATGCTACTGTCAGTTTCGTTGGAGGCTGATGCATTGGTGCGTCTTTAGGAAGTCGTGAGTCTTCTGCTCAGTCTGTCATCTTCGCCACTATCAGTCACTTGAAGTTGCTACTGGAGATTTTGGTTCACAACGTCGTGGACGTGTGTTCCTCATCTGGTCGCCGGCGTCATCCTCCAGCCCTCCAAAAGTCATGGTTCCCGGTGCTGGGTGCCTGTCGTGTTCGCTGGAGGTGGGCGTTGTGTTTGCCGGCGTCGGACGTGGTCACTCTATCTTCTCTGGTTAGCGGCTGCCGAACAGTACAGCCAGCTGGGTCAAGCATCCAGTCGGATCGGGTCCTAGGGATCCACCTAGTGATGAAAGACTGAAAACATGGGCCGAAATTTTAAGCCCAATCCCATTTAGGACATTAAAAAAACAACAAAGAAAGGGCAAGGGGCTTTGGTGGGCTATTCAGTTAATGAAATTGGTCCTCGGCCCAAATCGCATGGGCCCATATCAGTGTAATTAAAAAAATAAAGGATTTCAGTAATTATACTTTGCCCCAGTTTAAAATTACCTCTTTTGGCCTATAATTTTCAAATTTATGACATACCCCAAGAAATTTTTGGAACTTAATATCTAGTCCCTTAACTTCTGGAATTGTTGTTTGACCCCAAGTCTCTTCCAAAATTAAATTTTAACCCCTGAACACCTTTTAAAATTTTGGTCAAGTCCCATATTTGTTCTCTAATTCCTTAAAGACCTTAAGGATTTTTGAAATTGTTTTGTTTTAAGGTCATGAAGCTTGTAATTTTGTAACACTTAAGATCTTATAGTATTGATAATGGATATATCCTATAGGTATAACATTATTAATGTGATTTTGGTAGTTAGTTTTAAGGATAGGCAAATAACACTTTTGATGTATTAGATACTTATTATACCTCATAGGTATGAAATATTTAATACATTTCTTGGGTAAAGACATTTGTGTGAGCCAAATCGATGTGGTATGAAAGCCTTCTTGGTGCATAATGATAGTTGCATAACTAAAATTCGCTTGTTGGGAACTCTGTACTATAATTATGTTATGCACGCATAATTATTATTTTTCATATTCTGTTTTGCGATTTCAATTTTGTAATTTGAGCAACTATCTTTTGTTAAGGCCCTATATGAGCCTTCTTGGTACATAATGATAACTGTGTAATTGAAATTTACTTGTTGGGAATTCTGTACTATAATTATGTTATGCATGCATAATTATCATTTCCTATATTATGTTTTGCGATTTCAGTTTCTATTTTGAGCAACTATTTTTTTTTGTAAAGGCTCTTTATAAGACTCATTATAATTATTTGTGAAAGTTCTTAAGTATGTACCTTACCACTTTGAGAATTACTTTGCTCTGAGAGAACTGAAACAAGTGTATCTCTCTTGGCAGTCCAGTACTTTTAATAAAGCCTATCATATGCATTTGTATAAGTCCAACCAAATCTCTTTAGCAGCAATTGAAATCACCATTGACGAAAGGAATTAGAGACAACACTTTTGACAATAAATGTTACTTAATGCTTAATAGCACTCAGTTATAATGGGACTTTTGGTGTTAAATGGGATATGTCTTGAACTTGTATAGGATTATGGTTTATAAAATTACCACAACATAAGTATGAATTATTGACATCATCTTACTTCACGCAAGGAGGGAAGAGATTGAAGGATCATACAATATTAGTAGTAGCCCATAAGAACTTCCAACATGAGGGGTGAAGTGTTTCAAGTTTGGAACAACTTTGGAAGACGAGGCTCATTTAAGTGGGAGTTACTAGAATATTATTCTTTTATACATTTTAAACTTATGATGAGCTCTTGATACTTCAAACATGTAAAATACATTATATTGTAAGCCCTATATGCAATGTTCTACAATTAATAATCCAACTTCATTAGAGGGATGGATAAATTATAAATATTTGAAATTTTCATTTTCATCCATATGCCAAGAGCCATTTGCACTTAATGATTGTATGCTTAGTTATAGTGAGTCAAATCATGGTAGTGTATTATTTCAAAATGTTATGTTGACAATGAATTTTATCCCATAGGTATGTCATTGTCAGTGTAATTTGTGTTTAAAACTTTGAAATTATCTCAGAATACTGTATTGGTAAATGACCCTATCGGTAAAATAAAGATTACTATTATTGGTAGTTGGGCATTTAATTTTTTGGCAAGTTTGCAAATAAGGGTTTTTTTTAATGTTTTGATGTTTCTTGTACCCTGTAGGTATGGTAACATTAAATACATTTTGTTAGAACCCTTTTAATAAAGTCCTTAATTCATATTTGAATTGGATGCTTAGTAATCTAGTGTCTAAAATAATATAAGATAAATTATTTGTATTAGACTGGAAATCATAAGTGAGATATTTAGTTGAAGAAGCTCGATCTCAAAATCTATTAAGAAATTCATTGTTTACTATTGCATAGGATTAAGACGGTGCTAATTTTATTGCTCACTATCAAGTGAATCGAATTTGAATCTTATTTTCAAATAAATAGTGAGAGTTATGGGCCTAGACTATTGGTTTACTTGTTAAGAGCATCATCTTTATCTAAGCATGTTTGTTCACCAACTTCATTTCATAACGATGAGGTTGTTAATGAATCCACTTGTTAAAAATAAACCTTTCCTGTTATATATGGTGAGAACATTATCACATTACTCATGGATGTCATAATAATTTACAACTAAATTATCTTAGGCGAATAGAGACTTGAAGGAAGGAATTGAAATACCTTAATAAGATGGTTTTGTAGAATTTAATTGGAAATATTTGATGTGTAACTATCTAAAACCATCTCTGAGAATAAACAAGTCTCTAGGCGGTGATATTTGAAGTTTAATGAGGCTATTGGCTCTCTTTAATTTTACGTGAAATAATTCAAATTTGTGTATATTTGTTAATTATTTGGGAAAAGCAATCTTTGGCTTCTTATGCTCCATGATAATAGCTAGTCACTAGCTAGTAATCAAATGAATGAGACATACTGTTTTGAAAATCGAACCGGACCGGTCGGTCGAACCGTGACCGGTCGGGTTTTCAGTCTAGTTCAAAGGAAAAAAACTGTTTTAAGAATTGAGCTGATTTGAGTCGTTTCGAACCGGTGGTCGGACAGAGAACCGGAATCAAGCCAGGAACCGGATCCGGTTTTCAAAAACCGGACTGTTTAAAAAAAACTTTTTTTATCAATTTTTTTTTTAAAATGACTAATTTTTTAATCATTTGATATTATATTGTATCATATAGCTTGTTAAGTCATGATAAACTTAAAATATTTGATTTTTTTAAGTTAAATAGCAATTTCATATGTATTTCTTATATTTAAATTATTATATACATATATAATTTTTTTTAATTTAATTATTACCATGTGAACCATGAACCGCTGACTTTTCTGGTTCAATGTCTGGTTCGGTTCTGAAAACATTGATGAGACAACATACTTGTGGTCATGCCACCTTGTTATAAAATTTTCTATTTGACATATTTTATTCAAGGATTAATATCCATTTTAATATGTCTAATTACAATTTTGATTTGTCTCAGGCAACCTATTTTAATCAAGTGTTTAGAAATTGGTGCACATTTTTAATTTGATACCTATTTAAGGAGTGTAAGGTTGTTTAAGTTTTAACATCCTCAAAATTAATGCTGAGAGGACCATTTTGCATATAAAGAATTTTGTACGCTTCCGTTATGAATGACTCTGAGGATGCTAAAATATGCATTGGTCTTTGATCTAGATTTTACTTCATGTAGCCCCTAATAAATACTTACAAAATCCTAGCAAGAAAATACTGAGATCATTTTGAAAAATTATTGTATGTTGAAAGGTATATGACACCTAGAGTTTGTTATTAAAAATGTGATCCTCTTTTACATTTGTGACCATGAAGATTTAGAATGTGCATCCTATATATATATATATATATATATCACTTGTTGTAAAGCCGTTTATTAGATTATATAGTTGAGGGTAGTATTATTGGACATGCATTTTGTTATTCCTCTAACTATTAATGTGATATTTTGTCTACCTTGAACTTTTCTCAAATATTTTGTTAGAAAAGATTATAGACACTCAGACTTATTTGGTTCATTTTTGTGGTGAATGTATGCTTATGCATTTGGATGACCAAAGGCTTACCTATGTGGGTTTTATTGATCTTTTTTTTTTAAGATAACCTTAGTTCAGTGGGAGTTTGAGTTATGTTCTTTGTTTTTTTTTAAGAACATTTGATAGTTTAAGGCCAATTTTGCTATTATGCTTAGTTCTTGTTTCAAAAAAAAAAAAAACCAATGAGATACTTTATATCATTTGTTTCCCCATAGGATTCAATAATTTGTGTTTATGCATCTTGTATCACTTGTTTCCTCCTGAGATTCAATGATCTTGTATTGTTTCTCTAATGAGTTTCCAATCCAGGTTTAGAGATGTTGTGGTGCTTTGTATTATATGTCTCTCCATAAGATTCAATGATTTATGTTATAACACCTTATGTCACTTATTTTCCTATACGATTAAGTGACTTTGTGTCGTCTCTTTACCAAATTGTGGTCAGAAGAACCATTCTATGTTCAGTTCAATTAGGTACGTCTATATCATTTGTATCCCCATATGATTTAATGATTCTGTTTTGATACATTATACATGTCACTTGTTTCCCTATAGGGATCAGTGATTTATGTTATTATCTTACTGAATTGCGTTTTAAAAAAGATTATTATTTTGTTTTAATTCAAATTATGAGACGCTATATCACTTATTTTCTCATAGAATCCAGTGATTTTGTGAAATTTTATTTTTTGAATTTTATTTATGGCTTGTTTATACTACTTGCTTAATTAATGTAATCCAAGTGGGAGATTATTGAAATTTCATAATGGATTAACATTAATTAATGAACCCAAGCAGATTGGTCCTTATGATCTTGTGTGGACTGTGATATGGGTGGACCACACAAGTGAGTCCAATTGATAGAGGCCCAACCCACAATCCAATAGCCGTCAGTTATTTTCTGTCTCTTAACTGATTGAGTTAGAGATAATAGATAATATAATTATTTAATTATTTAATAAGGCGGTTACGATCTGATCCTTATAAGTTGATTAGTTGAGAACCGCAAACATATGACTCATTTTCTTCTACTCTATTATCTCTGAATTTTCTGAAGACTCTGAGAGCCAGTGTGTTGTGCACCTGTCTACACTTGAAGTAATCGAACCCTCTCAGACGTTCATGGATTCCACAGGTACACATATATATTTTTTTATTTATATGAATTGAGATACTAAATTGTTTACATTTAATTCATTACATTTTACTTCATTCTAATAACCAAATGTGATTTAAAATATTTAATAAGATATCAAATTTGAACCATTCAATGATAATAATCCCGATCTAATTGTTAAAAATTAATAGTTAAAAATTAAAGAAAACGGAAAGGAAAAAGGACGGGAAGGCAGAGGAGAAAGTTCTCTTCCATTTTTATTCTTTTAATATTTCTCAACCTATTTCGTTAGCCTACGGATGACCGTTTTTATTCCTTCAATGTTTTCCATATAATTTTAATGGGATTGAATTGTTATAAAGATAAATATGATTTTTCTTTTTTAAAAAATAAAATTATTAAATCCACACTACCATACGGATAAACAAATATTAATTTGAATCACATCAGTATGCGGGCGGGCGTGTAAAGTAAAAAACGTTAGATCCTGACAGACTGACACCTCGTGAATATCTCGGAGAGCCAGAGTTGCGTTGATTATTAATCTTTTATTTTTTTTTTTTTTTTAGCCGACTGGCTCTATCGTACTATATCTTTCTTGTTCCTGCAATATTTTAGTGAGGGGTGTTTATGTTTGTTGACTTCAATACCGTCCCCATTGTCCCAATCTCAAAAAACAAAAAAAAAAAAACAAAAAAAGTGGAATGGGATTTTGGGAGACAAGACCATATATATATATATATATGTATGTATGTATATATGGGATGGTATTTGGACCATCTTCGGGATGTCCTGTCCGAAATATAATATGCATATTTTTTATAAAAAAATTAATTTTTTATTCCTCCAATTTTTTCTTCATTTATAATCCAATCCTTTAATTATGACTCGTTATGATTTAATCCCTCAATTTTTGATTTGTTTATAACTCAATCCTTTAACTTTTATTTGTCTATAAATCAGTCCCTCAACTTTTGTTAATTCTCTTTTTTTATGTTAGCTTAAATTTTACATTAAAGTGCAAGAGCAGGGTATTTTAAAGTAAAATAAGAACATTTTTTTTTATGCCTCTTATTTGATAAGGTTAATTTTTAAAAGCATTTTGAAAAATAAGCGTCAAGTTATATGTGAATTAAAAGTTAAAAGATTGAGTTACAATAAATCATAATTAAAGAATTGAGTTAAAAATAAGTTAAAAATTGAAAGACTAAAATATTAATTTTTTTTTTTTATTAATATGTAGTAGTTTATCAATAATATGCATATATATTTTTGTTTATAATATAATATGTAATTATTGAAATATCTTAATTAAAGAAGAAGAATTAATAACTTGATATTGTGTTTAGCTAGTGTATTTAAACTATGCAATTCTATAATTTTATTGTCATTATTGATCGTTATGCACTTGATTTTTAAGTTATGATTGTATTCATTTTTATTAAAAATTACACGTAGGCGCTACAAAATAAATTTTATTATCAAAAAATTTTATAAAATTTATAAAATACTTTTAAGTCTCAAATTTTGCACATTTATAATTGAGCAAAAGGTATTTATAATTGAGCAATGGGCATTTACAAATAACAACAAGTTGTGAATGACTGTTGTCCAATTATAAATACTCTTTAACAAGTTAAAAAATTAAAATTTAAGAATATTTTATAAATTTTATGAAATTTCTTAATAATAAATTATCTTCTGCAGGATTTAGGTATGATTTTCCTAATTTTAAATTGTAATAGTCACTCAATGATTATATTCATGTAGCGTTATTTCAATTTTGAACATAGTAAGTTGCGTAAATGTTACAATTCATGTTTCTTTTTCATATTTTGTCTACCTTACTGAGGCATCTGAACCCCGAAACGAGAATTTTGAGATAACACGAACACAAATCAATTCTGTTGGTTTTTTGGGATGGGACATGGGATATGACCAGTCCCAATCCCGCAATCACCACTAATTTTAGTTCACCAACATGCACGATGAGTTCGATTCCCAGTGCCGTGCTCTGATATAATTTGACCATCGATCCCTTATGGTTCGTTGTCTTGTGGGGGTGGGTCGTTTCTTTTGCTTCATTATATATGATGACTTTTTTTTTTTTTTTGCCCACATGATGACTCATTCACGTTCTTTTATTTTTGGAATGATGGTGTAGCTGTAAAACCATCAACAATGCAGAAAAAACGCCCGCGTGCTGCAAATATATCCAAGTTAACGAGGAAACCTATTATCACGTACAAGCGTCAGAGAAAGGAAGAGGAAAAAGAAAGCCATTTGCATTTTGACGTAAAAGTTTTCAAAACGCGCAATGGAGCAGGGAAGCAAAATAACTAAACCAAAAAATTTTAAAAAAAAAAGAAATAAAATACTAATAATTTTCTCGATCACAAAATCTGTTACAGAGGCGTTCTTCCGAATAAGTTAGCTTTGAAAGGCAATGAGGTCCCCAGAGAATAATAGTATATCTCCTGACACGAGAAGTTCTACGGTATTGAAGGCACTGTCACTCACTCAACCTTCTTGCTAGATTTGGAATCACTTTCTTCTTTAGATGAACTGGCAGTCTTTGACTCATCGAACTCCAACAACTGTGTAGTAGCAGAAATGTAGAAAGCTATTAACACCTTCACCAATCATAACAAAGCATATGCAGACACAAGTCCTATGTTATTTTGAAGACTACGAAGGTAACGGCCTCTCGTAAAATTGACGATATCACATCCTCCAAATCAAGTCATAATACAAATGCAAGATGTAGAATGGAAGACACCAAAGAGCCTTTTGGAAGTGGTTACGATATTCAAAATCAGCGTTCAACGATATGTAGAGTAACACAACATCATGTAATGGGCATTTTAGTAATCACCTTTATCTAGCTCTAGCCCAACCAAATACTATGAATGAGGGAAATGCATCATCCTGACGCATACGATCCAACCAAATCGGCCCATAGTAATTGATAGCAAGCCGTCATATAAAATAGTATTCTAATCAAACGAGGATGCAGTATTCAACACATTTCACATTTATTCCAGCAGAACTAAAGATTGAGAACAATATAAGAAATAAAAGGTGAATCAAACTGATAAAAACAACAGAAAACAGACGAAAGTACAGATAAATAACCTGTTTGACATCACCATTCCATATGCAATGAGCAGCCAAAAATCCAACTACAGCAGGTACAATATACAAAAGTGCAGGCTGAAACAAGAACATAAGAACAGGACACACATGAGAGAGGATTGATTGCCTTTTGCTAGAAAATAAGTGCTATCCCACCTCCATTCACAACCCAAGAAGAAAAGAGGAGAAAAACACACGGGACGAAAAGAGATATCAAAACCATATATTTCTCACCTGTGCAGCCTGGAACCAGTTCATCACAACAATGGTAAGAACCAAGCCGACAGCGTATCCCAAAAATGCACTCTTGAAATACTGAGGTGCCTTCCCTCTAGACACATCAAAACGCAAGGCCAGTGCAACAAAAATCCCTGAAGCAAAAACATGTGGTCAGAATTTATATTAATAATAAACCAATTGAGTGATTGCACATGAGTATGACATCCACATATGGGCATACATCTCATATATCGATTGGCTGCTTGTCATAAACATTCGTAATCTTTAAAAGACAAATAAATGTCTTTCGTAACCCAATGTCTCATGTCTGACACATCATAATTATCAAAGGCACCTCACAAAATTGGGTAAAAAGAGGTTGTCCAACAGGAAACAAAGTTAAAGATCAAAACCATCAGGAGAACTGCCTCTTATGAAGCAACACTGGGTAAATGCCTTCAAATTTCTAAATAACGAAGGATCCCAAGAAAAAAAGCATGATATAAGTAAATTTAACTTTAACTAGAACAAGTAATGAATTGTCACACAGGATCACTTTCATAAGAAAAATACACCAACATATAAAATTCAGACTACCTGGGATAACAATGTCACCCAGGCCAAGCATCGAAAATGGCCTAGCAGAATCTGAAGTTGGGAACAAAAGCTGCAAAAGTATTTGAATAAGAGGGATCGTTTATCCATTAGATTAATCAGTTGAATTTTCATATTTCCACTTGGCTAAAATTCTTACCTTTATTGGAGCATCAAATGATTTTGCAACACTAACCATCACTGGAGTAAAAAAGACCCAGAAAATATCATATACAAAAAGTCCAGCCTGCAAACCACGTCAGCCAAAACCTTTGTTAACAATCTGGATGGCATAAACATGTACTTTAATACATTGAGGACCCGGAAGGAAGGGTGGGGGTGAGGGCAGGGGGGAGTAAACCAATCTCAAGATCTATTAATCGTCCTTTCTAAAACAAACAAAATGTGTAATACTTTATTTTTAAGAGAAAAAAATGGGCTCGGCAGCCTGGTGTTTTGGGATAAGCACTCAAAAAGCTCTCTTGGTGTACAAAAGGTGGTTGATTTGGTTTATTTGCAGTCAAAGCATAACAGTTCTACAAAACAAAATGCCAAACACATACTTAGTAATAAAATTTGAGAGGGTCAGGAATGGTTCAGGCCTCATGAAACTCAATCAAAGACAATGCTTACCAAGAGAATGACACCAGTCTTGAAAGACCCAAGAGAAAGCATTTCAATTCCCTGCCAATATCAAAGATGGGGTTATTTCATTCCACTGTTCAACATAAGCCACAAACTAATATATTACTGCCTCCGCTTCTATATATAAGAAAGAAACTACCACTTGTTGTTTTGTTTTCATTGTTAAGCAAAATCACATATCTGAATAAACATTTATAACAATTTTCCTAACCCTCATAAACTCATAATTTTCATTCACAACAAACCACTAATGCAGCCTTGTTTTATTAAATGCAAGGGTATTTTAGTCTAGTTTTTTTTATTTCTAAACACAATTATTACAATTAATCGATTTTCTTAAAATGTGTGATACAGTTATTTTCTCTTATATATCAAAACAGAAGGAGTATATGCACAAAAATCTCAAAGTACTATCATTTTTTCCCTCAGCTTCTTCTATTGACAGTAAGATAAAAATTGATCTGATAGAACAGATGAAGACATCAATGAAAAGTAAGCAAAAACGAGGCATGACATCAATAGATGATGTGCCAAACCTGAATACAGAAAGCAAGACCCAAAATATTATTTGCCAGCCAATGCTTCCGCCTAGCATACCATGCACAAAAGAAGGTCCCAGGGATTGCAGCAACAATCTGTGACCTTGTAAATTCAATCTCCAAAGCTGTGCAAGAAAGGTGTAAGGAAAATATCATTCTGCATGATACAACCAAGTTAAGGTCAACTAGACCAAGTGAAATCAACCAAAAGCAACAAAACAACACAAATGCTCAACAAATGGGAGGATCGTCTCATGATAAAAATTAGAGCACCCAAAGACCATTCAAGGAAGTAAAGGTTCAAATACTTGTTTGGCCAGACAAGTAGAAGGTGGAACAGAGATAATACTATCTTGCCAAACTCCCTAGCAGTGGCAGAGTCAAGACTCTAATGGTGAGACTGAGAGGGTGCAAAATTTTAAAACTCAAGGGTAGGGGGTGCAAAATATTAAAACTTAAGGATAAAGAGTTCAATATTTCATGGGTGTGAATGCAAAATATTAAAACTTATACACTAAATTTATAATTTTCTCCAAAATGAGGAGGTGCATTGCCCCCCTCACCACTAAGTGGCTCTGCTCCTGCTCCCTAGTTACAACAAGAACTATATCAATTTTGAATTATCTTTTATTGCCAGCCAACACATTATTCATATATTGATAAATTCATGCAGTCGAGTCATATTCATGCTATAGTAGCCCTTTAGAACCTGAGTGAATATTATTGGAAATTAGATAGTTGCACTGTTGCAATTGCTGAAGTAATGAGCAATGACATCTCAAAAGTTTCATCATTGAGTAGCCAAACAACTGGTAGTAACAACATTATGATTCCATAATATTTAAGGAGAAAATTTTCAGCAGGAGGGCATAAACATAAAGAGGAACATACAACGGAAATAAGGAAAATGCCAAACAATAAGGTTCTCATTCCAATCCTTTGGCAGGAACCGCTTGATAGATGGTAATAATGTTGCCCTGGACAAAGTACAAAAAAAAGTGTGAGATGAAGTAGCAAGCTAGTAGAATAGCTTCTGTTGATTACATGAGAAGGAAAATGTAGGATGCAAGGGAAAGAACATACGAAAGAGCCACAATCCCAAGCACAAAGAAGTAGGCTGTCAACACAGCATTCACCAAATCCTTAGATAGAAACTTGAAGAGCAAGAAAAGCGATAACAACATCGCACTGCCAACAAAGGGAAACCGCATCGCATGTTCATTGGACATTGTCTCCTGCACAATTAAACTCAATGTAATTTAGGTTACTCATGTTTTGAGCCACAAAAAAGTGCAATGCGCAATATAAAGAAAAGAGTGAAGATAAATACTACTGCTTACAGAAGGCGGAGTTGGTTTGACAGAGCGATAACATCCCACAAACACAGTGAGGCATGCAGTCAAGACAACATTTAGGTTTGGATCTACTTTCATAAGAAGTGGAGCCAATGATAAACCTGCCATGGCATATTACATGTGTTTAATAAGGAATTATCAAAGAAAAACAAAAAATTCACTTGTCATCTCCCTTGTGCATTAAAAATAGAAAATATGGCACTTGAACCGTCCCATGCTTTTGAATTAACTGAGGGAGAACCCGCATGCACAGTATCGTAAGAAATGAAAATCATGAGAACAACAAAACCACTGGAACAACACACTTATCACAATTTATTACTACATAAGATTTCAAAAGCATTTTCAGTAACAACTATGAAGCCTAACCTTTAGTAAAAAATTTGTATTGGTTTCTAGTCCGGCCATCAAATTAATACGATAGCATTATAGTCAATATTCCCTTTATTTTAATCCGCAACATGATATATATGATGCGCATTACACTAAAATGGCCACAGGCTAAGGGATATTTACAGCCACCTAATCGGATTTCCCACCCTCCACCAACTTAAAGATTCGGGCTCATGAAGCAAGGCCAAAATCCTGCTGCACTAATTCCAAAAAACAGGTAAATGCCCAGCAAGTGGGCATATGTCAGCACCTCAAAACCACGTCCACATAAGTCCACTTGCAGTTCAAACAAAGAACAGAACACAGGACGCACACCTCTCCCATTGCGTAGAAGTACAAAAAGAACATCAGCAATCAATTCGATAATGATACAACACATCGCTCAATTTAAAGAATTAAGAACGTCGATTGAGGTACAAGAGAACCAACAAGCAGCAACATAAGCTCACCTGCTAAAGCGAAATTCGCAATTCGCTCCGTGTTTTTCATCTTTATCGCCTTAATATGTCAAATTATTGTGAAAAACTGTGGATCTACTGGACCGAAGCCAGTTGTTTATGGCCTCCCCTGTGATCAGAAACAGTTCAAATAACATGAAAAGTAAATCATTGATCAGTACGACGTGAACTGCCCAAATGCTAAAAAAAAAAAATAAATAAGAATTTGCATTTCGACCAAGAAATGAAACCTCCTCGCGCAGAAGATTGTTGTAGTTTTGGTTTCCACGCAACTTGTTCCTGTCTAAGTCCGCATCCGTTGCAGATCGGACAGGCCAAGGTAGAGACGAAGAATTGCACACTTTTCAAGAGTAGGGTTTTAACTTTTAAATTTTACCAAGACCAGAGCGCTTGCAAAAATGGAATATCGATACTGGCATTTTATTTTATTTTATTTTTTTGGCCCAAAAAATGGGTGGTATTACCGTATTAGTTGACAAGCAGTTCTGTCGGTGACGGCCAATGAGAGAGAGGCCTCTAAATAGAAGCAAAAGCGAGGGCGATGGTCCTTCATACGTGGTGAGTTGTTGTTTGCCCGTTATACTGTGATTTGCCGGGTTGGGATATTGTGGTTCGACGGCTTTTGGCTTTTGCGTCCCATATCGGCATATCCTGCGCAAGTGCGTGGTGAATCTACTGGCTATTGCACGCAGTTACGGAAGCGAGGGGGATCTCAGCTCCCATTCACTGACCCACGTAGGTTGAGGTGCACGAACCAATCACAAACTTAGGAATTGCCAGCTCGGATTTCCTTTGGTCACTGGAACGTCTCGTTGGAGGCCTTATAACCCGAAAACTAATTTTTTTTTTTTTTTACAAAAAAGAGGGTGCTACAATTTCTGACCCCTCATTTTTGTTTGAGTTATCAATTTAGTCTCTCGTATTTAATTTTATCAATTTAGTCCTTTATATTTCATAAAATATTGAAGCTATCCGTAACCTTTAAAGAAAAATTAACACTATTAAATTATGATGAGATGGCCAACAGAATTGTGAGATGGCAGCCATATAAGTTAATAAAAAAGGAATATATTGCTGATGTGGACAAAGAGAAAAACAAAATAAAAAACATATCGTGAATTAAGAAATTAATTATCCAAACATTTGTTTAAAAGAATATCCAAACGAAACATAGCACCGTCCCTTCTCGCACAATCTATTGTTTGGCTATTCTTTTTGTCTGATATGCATAGCCAAGAGGAGCATGTCAAGTTAATGTTGCCTAGGTTTTGAGCGATACGAATTATGAAGCAGATGAGATGGTTATGAAGACTGTCGCAATATGTCTTCGCTCCTGAGAACTAGTCAGCTTGGTCGTTGTCGTTAGAGCCTATCACACACAACCATCGTTAGATTATGTCGGTCTCCTCTCACTGCATCACAATTGTACTTCATTGTTTCATCCTAAGATATATTTGGCCACACACGAGTTGCCTCTAAAACTATTTTAAAATGCCCTAACTTTTTTTTGTGAGAGTTTAAAATGCCCCAATTGAAAAATAGGAGGGAATGTTAGAAATTAAAAATTATAAAATAGGAATGTAAAAAAAGGGACGAAGTGTGTTCATTTATCCACATATATATTACATACCAGCAAAATAATTTACACATCAACTTATTTTAAGGGCTAACTTATATTTTAAATTTTAGAGAATTAACATGACAATCAAAGTAAATGTAAAGGATTGACTTAATAAATATTAAACATGAGGGACCAAATTAATAATTCATGAAAACATAAGGGATTAAAAGTTACGGTATCCCAAAAAAAGTTATGGTGACATCCTTTAAAATAAAATAAAAAAGATGAATTAACATACTAACTGAAAAATTTTGTATCCAAGAAAATATAAAACAAATTTTCTAAAATCTGAGAATATAGCTAGTTTATATTGATATATAAGAAGTCTATTATTAATATGCAAGATATTTATCATTAAAAATTTATAAGAAATTTATCATTAACATATAATTATATGTCATTGAAAAATAAAATAAATCAGTCACAATATAAAATATAATAAATATTGGATTGTTTGTTTGGTTAATTTTATAACATGGATTATATGTGTAAAAACCTTAACAAAACTGCCAACAAAAAATTGTTAATGCCATCCGCAACTCGAATGGTTAAAATTTCAATGAATTAATGTTCTTATTTTTTAAATTAAAAAAATTCTTATTTTAAAAATAATTATAGGTTGTGGAGCATAATTTTGAAACTAAACAAGACATTAATAAAATTTAGTCAAAACAAAAAATATAATGAAATGATGTCAGAAATATTTTATATTAATAGTTATTTTTAATGTTACATTATTATTTATTTAAAATATATTATTATCTATATATATTATAAAATTATAAATAAACCATATTTGCTGTACATATTATAGGATTTTGCGGGTGTTCATACATTTCAATTTCTCTCATATCGTTGAGTTACTCCAATATCTTTTGTTTATTATTATTTTATATGTTTTATTTGATTTAGTTGATTGTATCGGTGCTCATAGATATAAGGTGGATTTGTTGTATTCCAATGAGCTCTTATTTCTCTCATTCTCTCATTATGGTTTTATCTAATTTTTTCCTTGCCTCTCATGCTATTTTCATAGCAATATTTATAAATTATCAGCTTGCAGCTTATTCCTATGAAAATATCCATGTTTAAATACTACATTTAAAAAAACTAAGCTTCATTGGTGTATTTTTTACAGGAAATCAATATTAAAGTATCGGAACTCTATTCACTTGCGCTATTTATTTATTTATTTTAAAAGAAATTTCATTCTCTGCATTGAAATCGAAAATAATTTACTGAAATACGTGCTTCGAATTATTTTATGGTTCTAAAAATTTATTATAACATAATAATTCATCCTCCGCGACTTGATTTCTTTGGGCCTGCCAAGTTAGGCTTATGTTCAGAAAAGGCATCTCACTCCCTCTTAAAAGGAACAAAGCAAACTCCTCTTTGGGCCACTTGCAAATTGGAATGCATCTGTTATTAGAGCGACATCCCACAGCGATGAGGGGAACCTCTTGGTAGAGCCAGCCGTGACGAAATCATGAATAATTTTTTTTTTTGAGCCACATGAATAATTAAATAAACAAATAAACAAATAAGAATAATAAGACAGAGAGAGAATGGATCATGCATCGGTGTAGTAGAAAGCATTGAGCCATTGCCCAAAAAAGGGAGGGAGAATAAACAAATAAGAATAATAAAATGGCATTACATCAAATTTAAAATTTGAAGGCTCAATTTTACAAGCCATTCTTCACTGTCATGTATTAATTATTAAAGTCAGTTTTATTTGACGCGCGATTTCCTGCATTAACTCAGATTCCTTATTCCTGTTATATTGAATTTATGAGTTATGGTATGTTACAATTATAATGACGCTGGTTACTGTACGGGAGATGGAATTGAGGTGGCGAAGTATAATTGGGATGGGTTTTTTGGTGGGGCAGCTCTTGGGAGGGTGGGCGGAGCTGGTGCCCGGTGGAGGCTTTTTCGCTCCAATGCTGTTGCTTTAGGGGAGCAATACGTTGCAAGTTAGATTTGATGTTGATGGCTCCTCTCTCAACGGAGTTGCTATTTGTGATGATAATGGAGGATAGTTGACAGGGTTTAATTATAAACTTGATAACTATTCACCTATCATTATTGAAGTCTTAAAAATTTATGGAGGCCTTAAACTTTGTTGGCTTAAAAGTTTTAAGTATGTAGAAGTTTATTTTGACAACGTTGAAGTTATTAACCTCATCATTAGAGGTTATCTTGAAGATCACTCTTACCATGATATTATCAAAAAGCTTGTAATCTTTTTTATTGTAATTGAACTATTTCCATTAATTTTGTTTTTAAGAATGTCATTAGTCATGCTCATTCTCTTGCTAGGGAAGCTTATTTTTTGGTAGCTCATTCTGGATATTTGATCATGCACCACCTGACTTTGCATTAGGAGGTGAATGATGAAGGAGGTTTGCTTCCTCTAATTTTGTTTCAGGTGCCTTGTACTGCTTCTTGTTTTGAATGAATTCCAGCTTTTGATTAAAAAAAAAAAGGATGAATGAATGACGGATGCACGAGATTGAAAAATCTCTACAATTGTATCGTTCTCAGAACATGCGTGTGGGAGTGGGAAGATCATGTATCTTTGTTGTGGCCTCATCAATCATCCTCGATTCACCTTTTTTAGCATAATGTTCCATGCCAAGACTGATCCACTTTATTAATCGATCGTACTCAAAAATGATACAAATTACACTGATTATGGCTATTCCAATGCACACAAAACAAATTAATCTTTTCAAAAAACCACAAGCTAGTTCTTGAGCAAATGACGCCTATATTTTTACATGTCAAATGATATGAGATTGCTGATGTTAGCGTTTGGGAAACTGGTATAAAGGACCAAAAGATCAACTTATCTGCAGAAATGATCAAAGGGATGGGAATCTTGATTAAAGGTGCGTTGCAGAATTTTGAAGACCACCCACAAATTTATACCATGAGAGATTGATTTGAATGAATAAATTTAAGTAACCTTTAGCGTCATTTTAACCTCATAGTTTTATGATTGGCGTAAATTAAATTAATTAAAAGGTGGCTTAAATTTTTCCCCTGTCAAAAACTTTGACGGAGCTATAGTCTCTTGCATCGGGCTTTTAGATGTATCTATCAACCAGCCTCACAGGCACGTGATTAACGAAGCTTTTGATTCCTGACAACGCATTAGATGGTTGTTCTATGTTGTCACATGTTATTTTCAAATTCAATACATGCATCTGGGGCCAAGCATTACCCACTTATTGAGTGGGAAGAAAAACAACGATCCCCAGTGAATTTAATGAAAACATTGGCCCTTACTTTAAACGCAGTGGGCTTGTGGTCACCACTTAGTATTGTTGATATTGTTGTTTCATGTTTGGATATATAAGAAACTCATGGATCATCTATTCCTCGTGACGACTGTTTTTTAATTTAATTACACACACACACACACACACACACACAAATTCTGTCGACCACTTCTAAAATATTATTGAATTCTGATAAGGTATTCGGGTGGTTCAGTTCACCCAAAAATATGTATATGCCTGTCCTGTCCTATCTTTTGGAAGGAAATTTAAAAGTTGTAGAGAAATAAACTATGGAAGAGTAAACAGAAAGAAGATTTTTTTGTCCAAGTGGGAAGAAAAAGAATTAAAAAATTGAAAACTGAGAGAGATAAAAGAGGCTCATATTTCTTTTCAAGGTCATCATCTCTTCGAAAGTGAACAAGATTTTGAGAAAATATCTGCGTGTTATTACTTAAGACATAATGGAGAGAGAGTACTATTGTCTTTCTGATTGAAAGGAAAACGCTGGCAGATTCAAACAATCGAAAAGTAGAATGACCCTTGCAATAACAATGGAATAACCCGGCAGATTTAAATATTTAACAGGTGATATTTAAAAGTACAGTTATATTCTGGTTCGAATTTTACGCATGTATATATATATATATATATCTGGTAAAAATAAAAAACTGTGTGTTTGTATTGATACAGCATTTAATTCTTACGTATTATCATCTTCTGAGTAACTTGCATCTATCATGGCCAAAAAAAAAAATCTGGTTTGCATAGGATGATTATTTGGGCCAGATAATTAAGATAATAAAATTGGAAAGGGTTGGGTATTGAATATTGAATATGTCAGATATTAATTCCTTGTACTCCTGCAGGCTCTTGCAGCCCAAACTGCCGGGAACGACGCTCTCTCCTCAACCAGCTCCTTCTTCCTATGACGACAAATATATTTTCCTTCTCTCAGCCACTTATCTTTTCTTGTGTGTTTTTATATTAAAGCCATGTAAATCGACAGATAAATCAAAATAGCAGGCTAAGTGCTTTATCCATCATAAATATGCCAAAGGTCAGCTGCCATTCCCACGATTTTGTCGAGGGATTTAATTAATGTTGTCCATGATCCAGGTATTGAGGGATTGAACTTGCTGTAACTGTGCAGCATAAGGACATGGTTCAGATCTTCCAGAAGCTACAAGATGGGTCATTGGTTCGATTCCATTGCAAGTTCTTACACACTGCGTCTTCTCTTGTACATAAATGAACCATCATTTCAGTATTAATTGTCTGTTTCTCTCGATTAATATTGGTTCTCGGGCTTCTTGCCTTTCATTTTATGATATTTTACTCCGTTTCGTTAAAAAATATAAAGTATTTTTTAAAAAGTTTGATGTTTAAAAAATAAGATATTTTTAATCTTTTAAAGTGTAATCATTATTTTTTTTTTCAAAAGTATCCCTATTAAATAAATCACTTTATATTTTTTCAAAGTAAAACACTCTATTAAATAGGATGAATATGAAGAAATAGAGTTAATTTAAAAACAAGTAACTACTTTATTGGGAGTGAGATTCAGTTAAAAATACCTCATATTTTTTAACTAATGGAGTATTATTTATACTTTATATATGACTAATAACTTTTATAAAATTTGTTCTACATATTCAGCTTCGCATAACAAGTGATTCTCACTCTTCTCAGCGGCAAGACTTCAGCTTGGTGCAGATTGGCGAGTCATGAGAAACATTGGCATTCCCATAGTTGCTGTCTTGAGTTCCTTGCTGGCTTTAGTAATTGCCTCATCTCAGAGAAAAATCCCAAGCGACATACTTGGTTCAAACGAAACAGCCTCATTTTCTGCTTACCTAGTCGAAGACATGGATTTCTTGTGGAAACCTGGTCAATCTGGTTATCAACATGTCTGGCCTGTAAGTTTCTCAAATCCCCTTAATTTGCTATTTCTTTAATTTCTTTCCACCAAGCTTTCCTACACGAAAACAGCTGATCCATGTTAACCAAAGATATTCCGTTCCGATGATTTCCAGGCTAGTTAAATAAGCTAAGGGTTCGATGAAACTCAAGTTTGATTGCTCTTATATACTAATGTGTCGTAATTATAAATGTAGGAAATGAAATTTGAATGGCGTATCATTGTGGGGACACTAATTGGATCCCTAGGAGCAGCATTTGGGAGCGTGGGCGGTGTGGGCGGCGGCGGCATCTTTGTTCCAATGTTAATTCTCATAATTGGGTTTGATCCAAAATCAGCAACCGCTATTTCAAAATGTAATCGAGTTTCCATTCACACACATCTTTGTTTTCTGTCTCATGAACTAAGAAAGAATGGCCTGATCTGGTGTGTGAGCCTGCAGGTATGATCACGGGTGCAGCTGTCTCGACAGTTTACTTCAACCTGAAGCTGAAACATCCTACGTTTGATATACCCTTAATTGACTATAATTTGGTGATGCTTATGATGCCAATGATCATGCTGGGGATTACCGTAGGAGTTAGTTTGAGTGTTGTGTTTGCGGATTGGATGATCACTCTTCTTCTAATCATTATCTTCACAAGTAATGAATGTTCAGATTGAAGATGCTTTAATTACTTCAACTCGATCCCCACTTCAGAAACATGCATGGTTGATTTGCTATTTTTGTGAACACACAACAGGCACCTCAACCAAGGCATTCTTCAAGGCGTTGACACGTGGAAAAAAGAAACCATAATAAAACAGGTTCTCGAGCTATACTTTGACAGTAGTAATTAATTACAAAGCATTTTTAATTGAATTTTACTTTCAATAAATTAGTTAACTGTCTTTAAACAAACAACATATTTTTATAGTTATCTTTCTTTAATTTGTGTCTTACTTAAAAATAAATATAAAATAATTTATCTATTAAAAGTATTTTTAGAGAAAAATACATTAATTATATTTTGAAACATTAAAAATAATTTATATTTTTTAACATTCAATCCTTTAAAAAATATCTTAACAAGGGAATTGGTAGGAATAGACCTTTCTGTTATGCTGCCATATTGTTTGAAAATTTGCACCTATAATTGAATTTAACAAAATTTGTTCAACTCACGAAAGGTATTTTTTTTTAATGTTATTTCATATCTTGATGTTAACGCATTATGCGCTTAGCTTACAAACATGTATATCCTTTATAATTACTTTTATTTACTTTTTATTTCCTCGCCTTCTTTTTTTCTAAAAAAAAAAAGTATCCTCACATTTCTTTGTCTATTGATCATAATGCTATGCTAGTAAGGTTACATTTAGTCCCAAGGCAAGAGATAATCAGATATACGATCCCCGAATTCAATTAACAGACTCAATAATCCTGCCTTTCATTTTTTGCGGGATAAATCTTATCTCTTGGATTTCAAAATGCAGGAGACCGCCAAGCTTTTGGAGTATATTGGTTAGTGTACTTATTGATTATTTCCATGAAAGGGCTAACTCAGTCCAGGCTCATATATATTTATATATACTAAAACAGTTTATGGCATGGGCTTTTCAATCCAGCAACGGCTAGCGAGGCAGCAGACTACAGCTCTCTTCCCACAGGGCCTGAAAGGGAGGACACCAGACAAACTCAGGTTTGCGAATCATGTGTAATCATGTTTCACGTAATATATCTTTCATAGCCTCTCTCTCTCTCTCTCTCTCTCGCGCGCGCGCGCACAATTTACTTGAACTGAACTATTGATTCAGGTCTCGATTCTTGGCAACATTTATTGGAAAGAGTTGGGACTTATTTCCTTCGTCTGGCTCGCATACTTTGTCCTGCAGATTGTCAAGGTAATTTTCGTCGTTCGCTGCATCCTCCTCCTTTGCACTGATCGTTTCCTTGAACTAACCACTCAACTATATTTTTCACAGACACATACAGACACATGTTCAACCACGTTCTGGATAGTAAATTTCTTACAGGTAAGGATATTAATGGACGTGTATGAGCTATAGCTTAAATTAAAATGCTGATGCATGATAACTTTTATGACTTATTGCAGATACCAGCTTCTCTAGGAGTGCATTTATGCCAAGCAATAGGCCTTCATCAAGGATGGAGAGTTGTTCCTTCGAAAGGAGATCAAGGCACGAATTGGTCATTGCACCATCTGATTCTCTGTAGTTTCTGTGCTACGCTAGCTGGAATCATCGGTGGCCTTCTTGGTATAGGTAGCGGATTTGTCATGGGTCCTATGTTTCTGGAATTTGGAATTCCTCCTCAAGTCAGTTTCTCTTTTCCCTTTCGTTCTTTTCATACATCCAAAGTGTACATATATATGAGTCTTTTATGTTGAAAAAACAAGTGCAGGTGGCAAGTGCCTCAGCCATGCTTGGAATGACATACTCCGCATCTATCTCAATTGTACAATATTACCTCTTGAACCGTTTCCCTGTTCCTTACGGTAAACTAGAGACTCATCCTCAATTATATTAATTACAGCTAAGGACGACCTTGAAATCATAAGATTTTGAAAAGGATCATGACTCTTAACCACAATTAAATTAAATTTTTATACTTATCTTCCACATTTTCATTGCTCGTCTGTAGCAGCTTGAATACTCAGTCTTTATTATTTATTTTTTTTCCATTAGTCATATTAAATATTTTCAATATTTGCCTTCCATGTTTTCAGTTTTAAATAAACCATATGAAAGATGTATTAAAAACATCTGAGTTGACTACTCGAAAATTGAAAAATTGAGTGCTGAAAATATTAAAAATGAATTCTAAGAATGTGAAAGATGAGAGCTAAAAAAATTCAATAAGAAAAATTAATTAAATATGAGTTGATAACTAGGGTCTTTTTTTTAAAAAATAAATTCAGGGTCCTTAACTGTAAATAATGTTTTGAGGGTTTTTAAATGTCATATTCTTCTTTATAGTTTATTTTTTATTAATTTGTTTTGGTTCAAAACTGTGTGAGTAATATACGAAAACTCATGTTGGGTTTTGCAGCTGTGTATCTTACGATTGTGGCAACAGCCGCGGCATACATAGGGCAGCATGTCATTGACAGGCTGGTTACAAAATTCGGAAGGGCGTCTCTGATTATCTTTGTTCTAGCCTTCACAATATTTGTTAGCGCAATTGCATTGGGTCAGTGTCTTGCAAAAAGTTAGAGCATTGTATTGCACTTTTCTTTATTTCTTACACGGTACGAGAGATTTTTTGAGCTTTTGGTCGACCTAGTTTTGATGCTTTAATTTGGTGGGTTTCAGGTGGAGTTGGTGTGTCAGACGCGATTCAAAAGATTCAGCGTAATGAATACATGGGATTTGACGATTTCTGCAATTAGAGTCTCTGACCCCTGTAATCTGGTTGCTTTTTCGATCGTATTCCTGCCATTAAGGATTTGTTTACCAGGTAATACTGGGGTGATGAGATTATGAATGATTTTGTAAATTGTGATTGGTCCAAGTACGATAAAAAAAATTGAATATTTTGACGTGTTTTGGGTGATATGATATGAGCATATTGTATGTTTCATTGAGTTTGAAAAATTAATCGCGTTATTCACAATTTATGAATACAGTGATCTGTTACAGTTTTGTATTTTAAAATATTATATCATGTAAAATCATATATCCGATGCGGCCACATATAAAATGGGCTATCGCTTGACTTGAGTCTTAAAAATATGTTTCATCAGTCTGCATTTTGAAAAATATGCATCATTTTGAAATCTAAGCGGAGGTTTACTCAAGATTATATGCGACCTCATACTTTTAAAGTAATTTAAATAAGGGGATTAATAAGGTTACTTAGTTTTTAATCTGGTGATATGAAATTAGGAGGAAGGAAAAAACACTCAAAACCTCAACATGTGTCAAAACACATTTTAGATATTTAAAAAGTCTATTAGACCTTATTTAGTTGAGAGGAGGGGAAGAAAATTTTTTCCCTTTCCACCCCCCACAATTTGAAGGGATCCATGTTTTTCTTTCTCTTTTCTTCCCTTAAACCAAACAATGCCTTAAGTTTTATTTAGTTTAAGAAGAGAGGAGGAGAGGGGAAGAAGCCATCCTCCCAAATTAGGGGGGGAGGTTGTGGAGGAGAGGGGAGGAAAAACTTTAAAAAAACTTTCTCTCCCCTCATTTGGTGAAGTGGAGGGAAGGGGAGGTTTTTTAAAATTTTTCCTCCCCTCCCCTCCAACCAAACAGATCTTTAGGGATCCAATTTAGATTAAAATTATTTTGTATTAACTCACGTGTTGATAAAATCATTTATTTTCAATACTAAGTAGATTTTTTAGATTATATATTATTTATTGTTTTGTATATAAGTTATCTTTAGAACAAAATTGGTAGTCTTTTTTATAAATCATGTTGCGTGAAAATGTATGACTATTAATTATCTTCTTTTAATTTTTCTCTTTCATAATTTCCTGTTATACAAAGGTGAGAGGTTGCATGTATGATACATACACATATTTTAAAAGACGATACATTTAATAAGCATTAAATATATTCTCTCCATTAAAAGATATAAAATATTTTTTAATCAAATCTCATCCTTCAATAAAGTAACTACTTACTTTTAAACTAACCTTATCTTTTCATATTTATTCCTATTAAACACCTTATAATAAATATAAAGTCATTATCAATATGGACACTTAAAAAAAAGGTAATGATTACACCTTAAAAAATTAAAAATGCCTTATATTTTTTAACGGAGTGAATATTTTTTTCCTAAACATTATCAGTAATTTACCTATTTTTTTTAGTTTGATTAAACTAATTACAAATAGCTTATATTTATATACAGCAATGACAGACCCACAAAAATAAGTCAATGTGGCATAATTTATCTTAAAATAAATATTAATATTTTATTAAAAATGTAAAATTAATTATTTATTAAATTATATTAATAGTATAATTTAATAAAATTAAATACTAAAAACAATGCATAAAACATAAAATTATAATAATAAATTATCTTATATAAAAAATTTTTTATGTCTATTAGTTTCAAGTTTTCTTTATTTTTATTAAATTAAATCTATATACAACATGGGAGTAGTATCATCTTCGCTATGTGATGCATGAAATAGATAATATAACTTGTTTGTGAACTTTGTTCAGGCTATAGCTTGTCTTTTGTATGTCAGAAAAAAAAAAATATATAACTTGTTTGAATTAACCTTGACCAAGCCATTGTCTTGCATCAGGCAATCAGCCTCAGAGCCACAACACACTAATGCTATGATTGGCTTACAGTGAAAAATTGAAAGGAGAGAAAATAGGATGAGAAAAAAAATAAAGAAAAGAAAAGGGTGAAGAGATGCAATTTTTTTTATTATGCTTGACTAAGCAAGAGAAAATAAAAAGAAAGAAAAATCAAATATAAAAAACCTGACTGAAAATTTAGAATCTTTATTTGTTTAATTAATCTAAAAATTAAATATATTACTTATTTAACCACAGTCAATGATTAAAATGTAACTAAAGTATAAATATAAAATTTAAAAATTACTGAATAAATTTTAAAATTAAATTTTCTCTCTAAAATCTCTTAATATTCAAAGAGAAAAGTTAGATATAAAACATGTAGATCTTACATATTATTTTTCTCTTACTTTTCACTCCCTTTCAATTTTCTTTTCATAACTAAGTAGGGAAAGATACTATTTTTCTCTCCTCCTCACTCTTCTCTCATACTAACCGAAGCATAAATGGTTCTTGAGTGGTGATACGCTGTTTTCAATTCATTTGGGACCAAAAAATGACTTTGCATAGTGTGGAAAATTAAGAACGATCTCCAATAAATTTGATGAAACACTGACCTTTTAAATTAAGAGGACTTGTGGTCACGGCTTAGCACTACATCATTGATGTTGAAATTCAATAGTAATTGATAAGAAACTTACGGCTCATACACGCATCGTCAATAATAAAAATAATAATAAAATTTAAAAAGAATTTGTTTTTTATATAAAGAAAAAAACTTTCCACCGCTCCTGAAAGTGAAACTATTGGATTCGGATACAGGTTATTCAATTCAACCAATAACACACACATAAATAATTAAACGTAATAATTTTAAAATTTCCTTTTTATTTAAATTTAATATATGAATGTTATACTTTTTATTAGATGAATCGCGAATTGTGTGACATACTAAGTTCATCTAAGAATTTTTCCCAATAGATAGGAAGTACTTATAATAGCTAGAGTCAAGAGATAAAAATACTCATTTTTTTTCTTCTAAATACACCTTATATCTTTAAGACAAGAATGATGAAAGAGTATCCATTAATTTCTCTGTTTTTTTTTTCAATTAGGATGTCCTTATCTAAATTGTTAAAAAGAACCCAGCACTAAATACTTCGATTTAACTTCAATCTTGATAAAGAAAAAATTAATCATTTAGTACCTATAATTTTAATTTAATTATAATTTAATTCCTAAACTTTAACCTATTATAACTTAATCCTTATAATTTTAATTTTTATAATTTAATTTCTGAACTTTGACTCTTACAACTCAATTCATAGAGTTTTAACCATTTAAATATTAATTTTTATATTTTAAAAAATAAAAATTTTAAATTTTAAAATTATTTTAAAATTTTAATCTTTATAATTTTTATAAAGATTAACAGGGTTTAGTAATTTAAAATATTAGTCTTAAATTATAACTAAGTTACAAATAGTGTCAGGACTCAGGAGTTTGTCATAATATAATATCCTACATATGCTAAACTGAATTACAACTAAATTCAAATTTTAAGAATTGAGTTATAATAAAATAAAATTTAAAGATTGAAATATAATTGAGTAAAAATCTTATAAAAATTAACTTTCCCTTTAATAACTGACGGATGTGTGATTGTAAATTCAGGAATATGGGTTAAATTATATATGTTAACCTAAATAATTAATCATAAGTGTCTAGCTAAGTTGGAAAAAATTGATCCGAATAAAAATAATTTTTTTTTACTTGAACCATACAACATATGAACCATATGGGTTAATCCAAATAAGTTAAGGCTGGCCCTTTTAACTCATATTATTTTAAATAAATTAAAAAAAGAAAAAAGGAGAAATTTTATAGGTATACACCACATGGGGCATGACATACTTAGTCGACTCAATTTATATATTTTATACAAATATTATGAGTTTATTTTTTGTTAAATTTAGAATGACTCATAAAGGAATATTAAATTAGAACATATATTAAAAAAATCATACAAAAAATAAATTAAAAAAATAAATAGGTTAGCAGGTTAGCCTATTTAACCAGCTAACTTTGAAAGGTTGTATTAGATTAAAATTTTTATAATCCCTGTAAAAATGGATTGAACCCAACCCAACTTAACACATATTTTTCCTAATCAATATGGGCACCACTTCATATAGTGCAAATTGACTTATATTCTCAACTCTAACTATGAAGTGTATTATTTAACTTTATAAATTGAGGATTTTACTACACAAATTTATTATAGATATTCTCTTCATTAAAAAACATAGACATTTTTAAAGGGATTGAATGGTAAAAGATATAATGCATTTTTATTGTTTTAAGGTATTATTATCGCATTTTTTTTAAAAGTGCCCAACAATAAAAAAATCACTTTATATTTGTTTTAAATTGCACTATTAAATAGATATAAACATGAAGATATGGTGTTAGTTTAAAAATAAATAATTACTTTATTAAGAAGTAAAATTTGATTTAACACATCTTACATTTTTTTTGATAAAGTGATAAATGAATATCATCTCAAGACACTTTACTTGTAATGTTGGGATAAGTAAGCGTGCTGGGCTTGGATTATAGATCATGTGCCTCCTTCCTTGCATCTTATCGGCCATCACCTGAAACTCTTCTATCTCCACTCTCCAGCTGCTCCTTCCTGAGCCACGAGGCTCTTACCACCACGACATTATTTCTTTCTCTAATCGACACGACGTGGGACTGATACGCATTCCCCTCCTCATCAAGTTGAGTGATATGCGGGTGCGGGTGCCTTTTCTCCTCTTTTGCCTGCTTCTTTTTCTGTCAGGTCTCGAAAGTGCGCCCTGCGTTTAACTAGTTATGGTTTTGAACGATAAAGTTTTTCAATATTTCGCTGTTACATAACTTCTTTCATAAATAATAATAATATTTTTATTGGAAAATCTGGTTATCCATTTCTAATTTATTTCCCACGAATTTTATTACGCTGGTTCTTATATTTTTCTTACTTTTATGCATGCTTATCATTTCCTTCTAGTACTCCATCCCTTTCAAATTATAAGATGAATAAATTTTATTATCTCAATTAAAGTATAAGAATTTAACATTTTATTAATAATATTTTTTAATATTTTTTTAAGTGATTAAAGAATTACAATGATTATATATTTAAAGTTATATTAAATGAAATATATTTTTTAAAATTTATATATTTTTATTTTGAAAATAAAAGTTTATAATGTATCATTATAAAATTAATAATACTTTTTCAAT